ATTAAAAATCTACCAGCTACAAGGCCCTGTGTTCAGTATAGGGGATATAAAGATAAAAAATTATAGTCCCTACCCGCAAGGCACTTTGGAGAGAGGTAGAATGAGGGGCATGCATATACATGGAGAAATATAATGTAAGGTAGGGATGAATAGGGCAAAGGAGAGATGCAGATTAAAAAAAAAAGGAGGGAAAAAACAAATTTATCTGATTGACAGGGGATCAGGAATAGCTTTGAAGATGAAAAAAAAATGAGTAGCCCTTGTTCAAAACATGCACTAGCCCCAAAGCCATGATTTGCTTCTTCCTATTTCCTCCAATTCCAATAATATTTTAAAATTATCATTGAGTTATTATCCTCTTTATGACCACACTGCATAGATATGCTCTGGAATTACACCCACCTTTGGATGATGCTTTCCCCATGCACAGCATTGTCATGAAGACAATCTGACATAGAAACAAGGGTGGGATCTTTATGACTTTCCCTATTTGTGTACTTTCAGTCTTGACATATCTAGTGAAATAGACAGATAGACCTATTATTAATGATGAGCCACAACCCTCAAAACATAACACATTGGCACTTGGATTAGAAAAGGCTCATAGGATCAGAGATTGAGAGCCATGAGAGACCTCAACAGTCATCCCCAGTCACCTATGACTAGTTCCTTCTCTGGGTACAGGATCATAAACATGGAGCTGGAAGAGCTCTCAGTGACCAGCTAGTCTGACTTCATCATTCTATATATGAGGAAACTGAAGGCCAAGGAGGTTTAATGAGAGGAAGTAATTGTCAGACATGGGATGTCAACCCAGGATTAGGTGAGTCCAGAGTCAGTATTCTTTTCATTGCACCAAATTATCTCCAATATGGTTCCTGGGCAAGTGTTTAACCGTGAATCTCCACACTTTATTTTCTGTACTTAGAGTACCCAAAGGATTTTATATGCGCTTATTGAGCCAGAAATCAACTCTCCACAAAACCATAATAAGTATTCTTATAACTATATCTTAAATACCATGATAAAGAAGCAGGGAGACACATATATCATCATCACTAATTTTCAATTTATTCTTTAGGATAAGAGGCCCAACAACAATGTTTAAAACTTTTCACGAAGATTGGATTGCTGAAGTGCAAGGCTATTTTTTGTGATCCCTTCAGAGTTTGTGACATGTTACTTAACCTCTTTGCCTCAGTTTTCTCATCTGTAAAATAGGAATGATAACAGTACCTATTTCCCAGGATTGTTGTGAAGATGAAATGAAAATATATATATATATATATATATACACACACACACATATATATGTATATATGTACATATGTGTGTATATATACATATATATGTATATGTGTGTATATATATGTATATATGTATATATGTGTATGTATATGTATATATATATGTATGTATATATATATATAAGTGCTTCACAAACCCTAAAGCACTATACAAGTACTAACTAAGGGTATGTCATAGAGGCAGCTAGGTGGCACAGTGGATAAAATGCTGGGCCTGGAGTCAGGAAGACTCATCTTCCTGAATTCAAATCTGGCCTTAGACACTTCCTAGCTGTGTGACCCTAGGCAAGTCACTTAACCTTGTTTGCCTCAGTTTCTTAATAGGTAAAATGTATCAAAGACTAGTTGCACAATAATCAGAAAGCATAAATAGTAAATTAAACCATGTATCAGATGGTTAAAGCAGATTGCAAATTAAGAACTAGAGAAGTTATAAAGATATAGTGATTGAACTCTTACCCTAAGATTGAGATGAGAGACAGGCAGAGATAGAGACAAAGATAGAGAGATAGAGAGTCAGATTTAGAGTCAAATTCAAAGTTCTTGACCTCACCTACAGAGAAATTCCCCAGAGTCTCTGGAGAGACAAACTGGGTATCAGGGACATGTCAAGGCACTGGCTCCTTCATGTGTCTTATGCTTCACAAAGTCTTTTTTTTCTCTCTCTCCAGGCATCTCTTCCTGAAAAGAGACTGGAATCATGGGTGTCCTGTCTTAGAGCCAGCAGCAATTATAAAGGCTCTCTTCTCCCAAGCACACATCAGTTCCTCCCTCAGATAGACATACAATGTTAAGTAATTTTTCTCTCCACCAATGAGTCCAATGCAAATGCACCAAGCTTGAATCCTGTGTTACAAAAAACCTAAAGGTTATAGGATAATTAAAAACTTTATCATGAATTAAGCCATCTACCTTCTGTGCCTCTGGCTTTCAGATATGACTCCTTAGTAGAAGTTCCCATGAGAATATGCATTTCCAGCATATAAACTTGACCTTCTATTGGTCTGGTTTGGCTAAACTGGACAAAATAAGGTTCCTTCTATAATAACAGGAAAACTGAGGCCAATAGAAGGAAAGTGAAGTTACTTAGCAGCTCTGTTGAGGAAACTATGCTGGAACTCCCAGAATATGATATGCAGCTCTTGTTCCAATCAGCAAACTGCCTATCTCTGACATCAGCTTTAAAAAGCAAGTTGGCTTCAAAGTGGCTTATTAGAGAGAAAATTATTCCCTCTTTTGCAACTCTTTCCATCTGAGTTCATCTGCAAGTCTGAAAGTCCAAGCAGGTGCCAGAGTCATTCCTGCAACTGGCACAAAATTGCATTGAGAAAGTACAATTAGCACTTGGTTAATGTGTCTGGAATGGGATAATCTACACATTACACAAGGCAGCTCTAGGACCTACTACACTTTGCCTTAATGTGCCAGCTGACAAGATAAGCGGATGATTACACTGACAGTTCCATAGGCATATTTAGCAGTGCCAAAAAGTAGGAAAGCTGCTGGTACACATTCGATAGTGGTAAATGTAGAAACTAACCATTATCTGGTGGGATAGAGAAAATGAGTGAAGAGTGTGCCATTTGGCATGCCAATATTGTGGAGCAGAATTGCAGGAAGAAGAGTGGAAGCTAGAAGGGACAGGGCAATGGTACGTCTAGGGTTTTGCTTTGATTCTCCTTCCCTCATAATTTTATCATGTTGAGTGTAGTGGGTTCAGGAGTGTCTGAATTGGTTGGGATTTATTGCTGAGGCACATAGTATATATTGGTATAGATAAGCAAACAATTATGATGCTGAGATAACATTTGCATCAATGTGCTATTTCTTTGAATGAGCTGAGATGTTCCTGGATCCTTTCCTAAGAGAAAGATGCTTAAAGGACATCAAAAAACTTATATTATTAGCTGTTGTTTGCTGAGAAGAAGAGAGGAGGAAAAATGATACCCATTTTACTCTTCCAGAGTATTCTGGGTGGGTCCAAGGCATCTTCTTTTAACCAAATCTTCCCTTGTGGAACAGAAGAAGAGTGTCAATGGACAGAAACAGCAAAAAGATTAATTTAGCTTTGATATCAAGCACTTCCTAACAACAAGAGTTGATCCAAAATGACTGTAAAGGGGGTGCTTCAGTAACTGCTGGAGTCCCCTTCCTTGGAGCTCTTCAGGCTGGGGCTGGATGAGTATTTGTTTGGAATGTTGAAGTAGGTATCCCTTTTAGTTATAGATTGGAATAGATAACTGCTAAGGTCATTTCTAACAATAAAATTATGATTCTGTGAACCGCACACACTCAGTGTTGGAAAGGAAACCAATGATCAGCTAGTCTGACTGATACCTGAAAAAAAAGCATATTTTCTACAACATACTTGATGAGTGATCATCTGAACTTTGTTTGAAGACCTGAAATAATGGGGTTTAGATTTGGGAAAAGGGAGGCCTTCAAAAGAGAAGTGATATGACTAAAGTTACAAAGGTAGTTCAATGACCCTTGCTCTCCAGGGCAGAAGTTATAGTTTGATACTTCTCTTAAAAAATATCACTAGGCAATACTGCTCCATGAGAAGGGAGATGGAAGGAATAGGAAGGAAGGCTTAATAGGAAGCTAAACCATTTTTCTTCACTTCTCCCAGGACTCCTAAATGAGAAGGTCAAGATCCCATACTCTTTCCTCCCCATTTTTATGAGTTTGGTCCTAATTCTCTTGCAGTGACTTTGACTCAAAGAGAAAAATTAAAAAAAAAAAGAAAGAAACTAGACTTCACCAAGGCTATGTCTTTATGAGCCATTCCTTTGTGTTTCAAACAAGGGCAGTTCTGTGATAAGCCATTCCATTTTCAGTAGCTATCCCATTAAATGACCTCAAACTACATCCTTGAATGCTGACTAGTATCAGGGTAAGGTAACCCAATGCCAAGATTAGAGAACTAGGAAGAGGACTGGGCATGACCCATGAGGCATGAGGACTGTGGCCTCACAACATCCTCTATCTTCTGTCTTTCTCTCTCTCTCTCTCTCTCTCTCTCTCTCTCT